AAAAAAACAAAAATAAAAAACCTTGAAATCAACCTAAAATAAAAACTCTTCTCAAGTTTAGATTTGGTTTTTAAGACAATTTTAACAAGAAAACGCCTGAGATGAACATCTCTCACCAAATTAAATATTTAGACACCAAAATCAATAATTTTAGTGATTAAAATCGATATCAACTTTGATGTTTTTTTTATTGTTGGAATTCAACGTTCTCTTTTTTATTTCTCAAATTAAGAATTAAAAATAAATAAAATAAATTTTTGTATCAAAATTAAATTAAAAAAATATTGAGGATCCGAATAGATATAATTTATATAGTTTTAAGATTAAAGTAAATTTTTTTGTGATAGTTTTAAAAATGTGTGGTGTTTTTTCTTTGATTCTTCTTTTAATTTTATTTTTATTCAACAAATTTAATTTAATTATTTTTTCATGATGTCCCAGAAAAAATGGAATCGTGCTAAATAAAAAAATAAAATAAAATATCAGTAAATCTATAATAAAAATGTGAGAAGGTAAATAATACATCCAGAATGCTTATATCAGAGTGTTTATAGTATTTGTAAATCTACTAAGCCGACCCTCCTTTAAACGGGTCAATAAAATGTAAACCTGACCCGTATCCACAAGAAGAAAGATTCAACAGCTAGGGTTTTGGCTTGCGGCTAAACCCAACTCCCGGATTCAGTATCAAGAAGGCCTTCAATCCACTCAAGCAAGAGATGGGGAAGGGAAGCTACAAGAAGCTAAAGGATAGCCAGAACTTCCGTCAAAGACTGATATTAGCGACGCTCTCCGCCACACCTATCATTATCAAGGGCATTCGAGCCAATGACACGCTTCCTGGCCTCCGCCTCCATGAGGTTTCTCTTCTTCGCCTCGTCGAGAAGATTTCTGATGACTGTGTTGTCAAAATCAATGAAACAGGTAAAACAAAGTACTCTACTGTTGTTTTTGCTGTTAACTTGTGCGGGGTTTGATTTTTGAGGAATATATTTTATCTGACAGGAACAATGGTCCGGTACAAGCCTGGGATTTTGATGGGTGGGAGACATCTTGTGCATGATTGTGGTGAAAGTCGAGCAATTGGGTATTTCTTGGAGCCATTGCTTGTTCTTGGGTTGTTTTCGAAAAAGCCCCTTTCGATAAGACTCAAAGGTATTGTTGCTTTCTTTGTTGGGTTTACTAAACTTTTTGACCTGTCAGCATGTGCTTACAGTTTGTTCGGTTGTATGTTCTTCTGTTTATGGGGTTTCTAGTAGTTGAATTACTCTTTTATTTTTTTATCAGTTATGTCCTTGTTTTGCTCGAAATGATATCCTTGTGAGTGATTTTATTTTACTGTCTTATGCTCTTAATGAGGGGAAAAAATTAGGGGTTAGGAAGTGAACTAGTTTAATGTTTTTCCTAGATGGGCTCTAGGAGACTTTGTTTTAGAGTAATCGATGATTGACTAGGATTTGAAAGAAGGCTGTTACAGAAGCCAGAACTGCCACCATTTCTACTTATGTTGATTTCATCTGCTCTCTGCTGGAACCAAAATGGGAAACAGAATTCTGTCATATGCTGTTGTATAATTGATGCCCTGCTTGTTGAGGGTTCCATCAATGTACAAATCTAATTAGCTTGTAAGATATTTATCCATGCGGATTATTCTAGAAATTATCAAAGATAGATATCCAAAGGCTCAGCAGAGAAGCTTTCTAGAAGGCATGGATCAGTCTTTTATCTTTGTGCCAAGTCTACAAGAGGATGTCTTGATACTGAGTTCTGAACTTCTTGTGTAGTAACATGAGGAGCAATCGGGAATGTAAAATCTTTAAAGCATGCTTTGCCTTTTGAGAGTTTGGAGAATGATTGGTTGTAGGGGCTTTGTCTACCTTTCTTATCTATCTTCACTGGCAAAGGCAGCCATATTCCCCTTGAGCTTGTATAGATCACACCTAGTCCACAACCTAATGTTTAGAAAAGATCTATAGGGTCTTTGTCCCAACCGTGTTGTAAAAAAAAATGATGTTAGGATGCTAACTTTACCTTGATGATATCAGCTCTGACTTACCTTTGAAGTATCCACACACAAACTTTACATAGCATGCCTTTGTTTATGATTTGTGCATAGGGAAACATAACTGTAAAGGGTTATTGCTTTTCCTTTTAAGAGGTTGTAATGAGCAGTGTTGTCAAGAGGCACTGGGGCACTCACCTATGCGCTTCAGGTGAGGCAAGGCAAGGCCCTTGCTCCTTTATTAGCCTCTGGCATTGGATTTCAATTATGTGCCACCTAGGTGAGCACCTTGTGAGTGGGTGCAAGGTGCTAAGGCTAGCGCTGCTGGAAGTTCCTCCTTTTCTGTTGGATTTTTCTTTTTTTTTAAATGATTTATGTTTTGACCTATTTGTCCTTTTTTTTAATATACCACAAGAAACAACTTAAGGTTTATTTTTGTAAAAAACAAAGATTAGGGTAAAAAAAAATTTAAAAATCATTAAAGTGGGAGACAGACAATGAAGGACACTTAGAAGAGAAACACCAACCACACCTTTTTTCAACAATGGGAGTCAAAGAACAACACATCTGTATAGTTAATACTTTAATTTTTTCTAAAAAAGTGCAATATAGTTTGGGAGATGAGGATTTCAATTATAATCATGAAATGGAGGATTCAAGTGAATGAGAGGAAAGCATGGATGGAGATGTTTTTGAAGATTAATGAATAATGATGATGATATTTAATTTTGCTTTTTAATTTGTATGGATACTTACTACTTTAAATTATCTTATTTTGTTTCAAGGGTGAAAAATATAACTTTAGATGACTATGTTATGGTATTTTATATTCTCTTTTGATTTTCTAAAGATCTAATCTAAATTAGGAAGATGTATATTTTAGATTTATCTAATAATATTTTTTTTTTAATTTATAGCATATCACCTTGGTTCATACGGGCGAGTGCTTAGTGCCTCGGGCATTTTACAGGCTTGGCACCTTTTAGTGCCTTTCGCCTTTGACAACACTTGTAATGAGATAATAAATGGTTTTCAGGAATTACAAATGATTCTAATGACCCATGTGTTGACACTTTTCATTCCACTACCTTACCATTATTGAAGCACTTTGGAGTTCCATCAGAAGGTTTGGAGCTGAAAATAGAAACTCGTGGTGTTCCACTGCATGGTGGTGGAGAAGTTCTTTTATAAATTCCCAATATTCAAAGTTTAACGGTGATATTTTTAATCCTGTGGTAGTTCATTTGTCTGGGATTCTTTTTTCCCTGATGTTCTTATATGTTATGCTCAGCAGGCAGTCACATGGATCGATTAGGGAATGGTTAAGAGGATTAGAGGGGTGACTTTCTCAACCAGAGTATCTTCTCAGTTTGAGAATACTATGATACATGCTGCTCGAGGAATCTTTAATCATTTGCTTCCTGATGTCCACATATTTACTGATCATAAAGCTGGTCCACAAGCTGGAAAGTATGTTATCTGTTAATAGAAATTTGTCATCTCATCATTTGGAATGTTGTGGAGAGAAACGTGAATTGCTGTTTGATTTTTTTTTTCTTTCTATTATTTGTTTCCTGATGTTCATATATTTATGCTTAATGAAGTTGGTCTGCCAGTTGGAAAGTATTATATCTGTTTATAGAATAAAAAATGTTATCTGTTTGTTTGTCGGCATCTTTCAAACACTGTAGAGAGAAATGTGAATTGCTGCTTGGATTTTTTTCCCTTTCAGCTTGCTGCAGATAGTATAGCTCACATATATATTCATTTAGTGGCAGTTCACCTGGTTATGGAATACCTTGGTTGCGGAAACTACTTCTGGTTGCTTCATCTCTGCTAATACTGCAGTTTCTTATGCACGAGCGGAAGATGGTGGAATGGAAGATGAGAAAGGAGAGCTGATGCCTCCAGAAGATGTTGGTGAGCAAATTGCTTCTGTTCTCCTTCAAGAGATTGAACAGGGTGGAGTTGTAGATACAACACACCAGGTTTGTATTTTCTCTTCTCTGTAATCTTTTTCTAAGTCAACGTTGGTTAATTCATTAAAGTGGGTCTTCAAATCCCATTCCATCTTTAATATTACTTTACAACAAGCAGGGTTAAATGCAGCAAAATGAAACCTTTTGATGACTAATTATCTCCTTTAGAAGACCACGTTAATGATATCTTTCAAATTTCTACTTTGGAGGATAGCATGACAACCTTTAGGAAAAGAAGCGTGAAATCTTTTTGGGTTTTATAGTGTCAACTTCATACCTTATTATGACTGTCGTTGCTATTGACTTGTTCCAGGGTTTGTTGTTTCTTCTGTGTGCATTATGTCCACAAGATGTTTCAAAGATTCGCATAGGGAAGCTGACACCCCATGGAATAGAGGTACTAAGGCTCATCAGAGATTTTTTGGGTGTTAAATTCGTTATTAAGCCAGATCCATCCACAGGGACAGTCTTACTCAAATGTGTGGGAAGTGGATTGAAGAATCTTTCTAGAAAGAGTTCTTGATTGCAAAATGCATCACTTGAATCTCTTTCGATTATGTGTTTTTTATGGATTCGAAGGTTTTATAGCAAGGTCCACTGGGAGAGGGGCTATGATACTGCAATTTCGTATGGTCTTGTCGGCTTGAATTTTTCATGTATATCATACTATTACATGCAATCTACGAGAGAGGGGGGAGATAAGTTTTGGTTCATTCTTGTATTGTATATACGGCTCCTAGCAGATTCATGCTCAAATGTAAAATGGGTTCTTTGGCAAGCGAATATGAGTTTTCTTTTGTCCGAGCAGAGGTCATTTTGGCACTTTTGTGAAGGTATTTTTCGGAAAAATAAATAATTAAATTGCAACAGAAACAAAGGACCAAGCTATAAACAGAAGCGGAAGCATAAGGATTCAATCTTTTTATCCTTTTTGCATCAGGGGAGCAAGATGCATCGGTGTCTTGTCAGTTTAATGAGCAAATTAGAACAAGCAGAAACGAAGACCAACCTGTGAAGAATGAAAATTTTGTCCAAATAGTCCTCTAATAAAAGATATGTCCATTTCCAAGTAAACGGTAACAATTAATGTCATGTACAGTGCAATAAGTACACATATGGAGGAGACCATCACTTTTGCATTGCAAATCATGAAGCTACATCCATTTTTTCCATCAATCATCACCCCATGCATCGTCTTTCATTTTCTGCCTTGTAACTATCCGGTTCTTTCTGGTTTCTTCCTGGCTCTTCAGTTCTCTCGAACCAAAGGTCATTGGCAATTTCAATCCCATTCCATGAGCTATTAGCCTTTGGGCAGTTCTTGCTGATGTCTTTGGCCTTTGACGAGGAGGCTCCAGATCTGACAAAAGGAATAACACAAGTATAGTTAAAAACAGAAGGTTAGAGAACTGCTTTCCTCCCATTTCCAATAAAATAACAGAAAACTGGTTAGGATTGCTAAATATTTGCATGTAGCTTTATGCGACATAAAAATAATTCCTGGAAAGATGCCCAAGCTCCACTGTTTCTGACTATTTTAGGACTCCCGGTAAGAACGCAGAAGCAATTGAGTGCTAGTAAGAATGCTCTCTCAATAAGAACATGACTATAGCTGGAAAGAAAAGGATGTGATTAATTCATAGAAAGTTCTCGTTAATACACAGATGAGGAATTTTGGGATACAAACAGGCAAAAAGACACCACTGAGGTTTCTTACAATAGGCCTACTTAGAAGCAATACAAAAGCCGCTAGCTACAGCATAGGAAGGTTTATTTGAAAAGATTTTATTTAAGAAAGCAGTCGAATAACTTGAAGTAGCTGGATGACTATTTTAACATAGAACAAAGAGGGCACAAAGAACTTTCATTAGATCAAAATGACAGAACATGACTGAACTACAGAAGAAAATCACTCTCAAATCCTGTTATCTCTTCCCCCAAACACCATTTCTTGCATGGTGTAACTATGATAATTCAGTTCTTGCTAATTGTTATAGAACAGCAAATTCTTGTAGGGTCAAGTTGCAAACCATTCAAATCTGATTTTAACATATCTTATCTTGGGAGGTGTCATCATCAACTTCAATAGTTTTTTTCATGAGGACAGGAGAAAGGAATTTAGACAATTCAGGCTTCTTAATTTAATTTTTATTGCAGTTTTGTTGCAAAGAAAAGAAAGCGTGTAGAAATTCAGCTTAGCTCCAAAAGAGTCTCTTTGAAGCTTATATATATTGTTGGCAAATAACTTTGCAGCTTCTGATAAGTTAAAACATCAGAAGCCTTTTCGAAGCTGGCACTGCTCAACAAATCCGTTCTAACTATCAACAATTTTCTAAATTTTAAGTGGGAAGGGGATTGCATGTCTTTCTGCTTCTGTCTCTCTCACCAAGCTGTTCAGTAAGCAGCCTCTTCAATGAGTTAGACAGTGGGTTCTTAAGCAGACTTCAGTCCTATGTACCTTATCTGACTGGTAGTGGGTCAACGTCAACATCTCCATTCTTACTGAGCTTCCAAATGGGCCCTCCTTTGAACCAGCATTTCATTTTGGATATACATCAAATTTCCACAGAATTCTGAACAGAGAAAAGTTGGGCGAAAATAATTTACCTTTTGTTGGGATTGAGCCCATGAGTTCATCATCCTCATCAAGAATACGCACAGAAAATGAACATTGAATGTGGTTGCGTGCCTCAAGCGCTGCATGAGAAAATTAAAACTGTAAGAGGATCTAAAACCGTTCCAAGTTAATCTCAATAACAGCAGCACATATATTAGAACACTGATATATGGACAATTATCAACTTCAAAAGGAGCACTATAAAAGAAGGAACGTGACTAGTATTTGAATAATCAGTGATGAAAAAAGCTTCAAAAGACAGGTCAACTACCAACCCCACTTCACCACAAGAGGGAAATAACAGAATCATTCCCCAATGTCCAGCATTAATCACTGAAGGATCAAAATAGCCAAAAGCACACAAGTACTGCTAGATATCAACAGTCCACTGGCTCCAAATGGCACAACTAAGTTGCAACCAGAATGTCTAGAGCCTACACCTCCTCAAAGGCATAAAGGGTCTGCATAGCCAAGGCAGAAATTGAAGATCTTCATTCACTAAAACTGCTGCACATGGTAGCTATACCCAACTGACTAAGTTTGGGGAGATCATCAAACAGAACAGTGCTAGTTGGAGGGAGGAAACAAGCCTCCCCTCATCAAGTCCAGACTTGCATTCTACATCACATGGCTTAGGGATCTTGGTGGTTAAAGTCATATTTTTTATTGGAAGAATGACAGAAGGATGGCCACCATCAACGACACTCTTTGCTCCTGCCCCACAGACAAATGGGCAGTTTGACAGCATGCCAGTTTAGTGGTTTACTTCTTATTAACCAAGTCATCCTAAGGCTACCCCATGTAATAAGTGCATCTTTCTAGCTCATGTTCAACCTTCAATACTATATAGCTTATGGAACATTCTAAACAGGTATTGTTCCTCAAGATTCTTATACAGTCAACTCCCAGTATCACATCATGCCATACTCCTATCAACATAACATCTCACAAGCTTCAGTCAAAAAAATGTTTGAAAGTAATAGGGGTTGCATTAATTAATTTTATGAAGCATAGATTCAAGAAATACTTACAAATGATAAATTGGAGTTTTCCAATATATTTTATTTCACAAACTCAAATTTTGAAATCTCAATTCTTTTTGTTTACATCCAGCTCCAAAGATAACTAAAAGTTTATGCTCCTTTTGCTTCTTCCAGATCATAAACTCCAGTTTACTGGATCTTTCTTTCTTAAGATATTATATTGTGTAGAGTTTTGGAGATTAAAGAAGGAAGAGAAAATGGGTTCACAGTTCCTCCAAAACATGCTGTAGATAAGATTTGTCAAGTGTGGTGATGCTGTACTGTTGTTTGACTGCGGTTATCTTCTGCATTTATTCTTAGCTGTGTTTTAAAAACCTAAAGACCTAATTTTTATGGGTGATTAGAGTGTAAGTAAAGGTTAGAGATGTACAGGGTTCAACTCAAACCACAGATTAAAATCCTTTCCTTGACTATAAGTAGGTTGCCTCATATATGCAAGCCTTCTTTAGAAAAAGCACACACCATATAATCAGAGCATATGCCCTTCTCTTTTCTTTTCTTTCTCACTTTACCACTAAAAGAAGCACTGTAAAATCATCGTATAGCACCCATGTCCTGTTAATCAAGAAACAAATTAAAATCCTCTTGAAGGACGGACTAACAGAGATGATCAGATATGTCAAGTTATTGCATGCTTATATTTATTTTTTCCTTCACCATTGAACTTGATATCATATATGTATGGGGTCATTTGTAACTAAGTTCCAAACAGCGTTTTACTTAATTTTGAAATTGTTTTGCTTAAAATTAATTTTTTTTATGTTTTTGAATCGTTTTGATGTGTTGATATCAAAAATAATTTTTTAAAATAAAAAAACATTATTTTGATACATTTACAAGCAAAAAACACTTTGAAAAGAAACTGCTATCACACCCTCAAACACCCCCTATTACTATCTGCACTGCCAGCACATTATCCACTCTGATTTACATCTTAAGTCAGAACATGTAATGAAACATTAAATTTATTACTTTTATCTTCAAACAATAACATCTTTTAATAATATTTTAGAATGACCTTTACAATTAATTTCTTCCATTATAAAAATTAAAGTTATCATAAACTAAATGACTCATGCCTCAAATTCACGAGGTCAAATGATGCAGTTCAAGCTTTCCATCTTTTAAAAACTATGATCCTTATCCCTGCCTATTTGACAACCAAAATAAGAAAAAAACTAAAAAACTCCTAACCATATCCTTTATTTTTCTAACTAATTTATAATGAGGTTTAATGTATTCTTTCTGAAAGACTATAATTTAAAAAAAAAAATTCAAAGTATCCCATGCCATTATACATTTATCCAGATCTTTATTAGTTATGCAGAACTTATATTTTGCACTCTGCACGCATATCTCTCCGCCAAGTATGTGTGTGAAAATGCTGAGGTAAATCTAATGTTCAATGTCCTTCTCATCTTGTTCTTTTTGTCCTGTTCTGTGATAGCTTAATAACTGCATCAGTTAATGGATTCAAAACCAAGACACCAGCACACCAAATCAGTCCCTCACCAGTGGATTTCAAATTACAACTATGCACTATGCTAACACTGCATAACAGAGAATCATATGGTGCAATATTTAGTTTGGAAAATAGGGGACTGATCTTGTATTTATCATCATACAAATGTAAAGTCAGTCGAGTTTCAATTACCAATTGATGGTGTTTGGAATACCGCAAGAGCCGCTGTATCATTGATCCAGCGAATAACAAATCCACGATCTTTGAAATCTTCAAAAAGCTTTTCTAGATCTGTTGTCCTCATACTCGGTGGAAAGTCAGCCAGAACAAGAACATGATGTGTGCCATATTTAGCTGCATTCAAATAACAAATCATTGATCCTGCATAATATTTTAGAGACAACTTATGTGGGAAAAAACATTAATATCCATGAGGGCATTAGTCATAATTGATTGATGCATGGGGCCCTGCATCTAACCTGAGTAGCATCCATTTTTATCAGTAGGTGTCTAATAACATTATTTCAGACGAAGATTTTTTTTTTTTTTTTCATGTTCTCAATTACTTTATCATATTTAGCTGGTTAACAATCCTTTTTGAAACCATGAAGAAATGCAAGTCTGGTGCTGAGCTGAGAAGGAAAAAAGATTTTAAAAAACACTGTTCATAGCAAACCGCGCAGCTAAATATGGCATCAATACTGAATTGATGGGTAAAGTTTGCACCTCTTGAAATGGGTGAAAAGGACAAAAATTGAACAAACCTTTTGCTTAATATGCAAAAGACAGCTTATTAGAGGACAAAAGGAATAGACAAACCAAAACCTGATTAAGATGGCATGCAATTACAACAAGGGAAGAAGCAAGAAAAAAAAAAAGGAACTTCTATCTAACTACCCAAGGATAAATAACTCAGGTATGAAGCCCTGTAGGAGAACCAGGCTAGGAGAATGAAAAAGTACCCATATCTAATGTAAGTATTTTCCTCAACGCATCAACACATACACCAATAATGACTCAAAAGTTAAATAAACGCATTTCTGGCCCAAAATGACATCATTTTTCTGGAAATATTTATAGCTAATTTATTTTACGCACACTTTGTTAAATACATCAGCAGGAGGACATTGCTAAGAAGAGTAACAATTGTCATGTCCCTCTCTCAACACAAATAACCTTTTTGTCTGCCTTCTTTACCAGTAGTGATATTTTCATCCTTTTCTCTTTTTCTCTCTCCACTAAAATTTTCAACCTTCAATTTGTTAAGACACCAGCCATAAAAAACTAACTTTTATATCTGTATCAATTGCTCATGTGGCAATTGGTTTCCATTTTTTTTTACCTCATAACAAATGAGACCTCAAATGTAAGAACTAAAGATTTTTACCTAAGAGAGTTTATTTAATATTCTCATTCTTGAAGAAGCTTTAAGGATAGATCCACAGTGGCATTTAGAATATTCTCTAATTTATTCTTGTATTTTTTGTACCGGAAAAGTAACTTTGGGGTCTCGTCCAAGAACATAAAAACCTTTAAAAAAGTGGTTGCAAATGAATAACTGAACATAGAATAATGCAAAAACTATTAGTTCCAACAAATCAAACAGCAGAAACCTATAAATATTCCCATGATTCAACTTTAAGAGTAACAAATGGACTCCTCTGGTCAAAAACCACATGAATAGACAAACAAGATCAAGGATAATGCATTTTTACACATGAAAAGTTCATTCCAAGGAGATGAAAAGTGTATGGCTTACAATTTTTTAATTCTGCATTTTGTGTACTTCTGCCCAAATCTTCATCATCTACATCATCAACAAGAGTTGCATCTGATTGTCGATCGCTATACAGTTCATGCTTTTTGTACGTGAATGGTCCCCGTCCACGCCTTTTGGAAGTTTGAACTTTTGCATCTTCCAAGCAAATATTTGATACAGAAGGTAAGGATTGTGGTGAGAGCAATTCATCAGGCGCATGATCTGCAATAGCTTCCCAATCTGTAGCATACCACAACAACATTTCGATCATAAAATTTTCATTCTTAATTAAAGAAACATAGGAAATAAGTCTCAGACAGAACAGTATAAGATGAGCAAGCTAAGTCACATAAGAAATAACAATCAGAGAAATCATGCGAACTTTTTCAAGTCAGGCAGGTGTTTCAAAGCATATAAGCAAAAACTAGAGAATCACAGCCAGACCTTTTAACCTACAGGACAAGGTCGATCAAACAAAAGGAAAACTTAGGAATAAATAGACATACCATCATCTGAGCAAGGTGAAACATCATCACGTGGATTCGATGTTTTCTCAAGATGCCCTTCAAAGAGACCAAAAAACCCATCAATTATTTCTCACATTACAATCAAATTTTGTTGTCTGGAAAGTAATCTGATTATAATAATGCCCATCTAGATGCAATTTGCAAACTTTGTTGTCTGGAAAGTAAAAACCAAAGAACCCAGAAACTTACCATCATTAGAAACAGCATTGCACTTCGAAATCTCATCTTCCTTCTCCACACTCTCCACATCACTAAAACCAAATAAATAAATAACCCCAGAAAAACCCAGTGAAAAAATAAATAGAACACTCGAAAAGCACAACAAGATCAAATCTTTTTCCCAAATTTTCTTTTCTCATCAACCTAACAGACTCTTGAAAAAAAAAAGAAAAAGAAAAAGAAAGAAAGAGAGTACCCAGAAGAGCGTTGTTTAATGAGGGAAGCCCGAGAGAGAAGTTCGTCAGATTTGAGGGAGAAATGTTTATAAGAGTAAAGCTTTGCCAACTCTGTTAATGCAGAAACCAATTGAAGATTCGCCGCCTCTGATGGGTTCAAAGTTTCGAGCCTTGAAACCTCAGTTTCAAGAAGAGTTATGGCTCCTTCTGTGTCACCGGCTGTCACCAGATCTTCTACTGTTTCACTCCAGTTTTGGTTTGATTGTTCTTCATCTTCTTCTTGTGCTTTCACTCTCTCCATTGGATTTCAAACAAAGATTGCGACTTCGGAAGAAAGCTTTGGAGGACGAGTACTGTGCTCGTATTTATTTGAGATTAAAATTGCAAAAACAATTTCCTTTTTCATCAAACGAGTCAAAAAAAACACAAAATGGCGTGTCATATATAAAATAAATATATTATAATTATAAATCAGTGTAATAAGTAATCAAGGTAAAAACTAATATTTTATAATAAAAAAAATTATATTAGTAATTAAAAAATTTAAAAACTAAATAAAATAATTTCTAACAATTCACAATATTTTATAAGAAAAAACATTTAATTTTACTATATGATTTAATTTTTCTGTTAATAAAAACAAAAAAAATTCATAACTAAATTCTTTACCAACTTAATATTAAAAAAACCATCAAAGATAATTTTGAAAGGAAAAAACCCATGAGAAAAAATGTTATAGCAATTAATAATGTTTTGTGAGAAAAATTATAGTATTTTTCCAATAAAATAAAATAAAATAAAAAACTACAAGAAAACTATAGCAATCTACAATATTTTGTGAGAAAAACTACAATGTTTTTTCCATATGATTTAGTTTTATTATAATTATATTTTTTAACCAATTTCATATTAAAAAATCAACAAAGATAATTTTAGAAAAAATTATATGAAAAAACATTGCAACAATTCATGGTATTTTAAAGAAAAAATTACACCATGGCGAAGATAAAATCATAAGAAACTATATCAATCCACAATGTTATTATAATTATATTTTTTAACCAATTTCATATTAAAAAATCAACAAAGATAATTTTAGAAAAAATTATATGAAAAAACATTGCAACAATTCATGGTATTTTAAAGAAAAAATTACACCATGGCGAAGATAAAATCATAAGAAACTATATCAATCCACAATGATTAAGCATTTTCTCACATATTCATAGTGACAAAGATAATTTTAAAAAAAATCATGAGTAATGTGGAAAGACATTATAACAATTTACAACGTTTTGTGAGGAAAGTTACAGTGTTTTCCCTACCCCCACATGATTAAACTTTATTGCAAAGTTAAATTCTAACCAACTCAATATTTAAAAAAAAAATAGACAAAAATAATTTTAGAAAAAACATATTACAAAAAAAGAAAATATAAAAGAAACTAGAAAAAAATCATGTGAGGAAGAACTATATCAATTCATAGTGTTTTGTGAGGAAAAACTTGTATTTACTTGTAATTGTAATTCTTAACCAGCTTAATATTTAAAAAATAAAATCGACCAAGATAATTTTAGAAAAAAACATAACAAAATAGAGAAAATCATGTGGGAAAAAACATTATAGCAATCCACAGTAATTTGCGAGGAAAGTTAAAGTATTTTCCTCATATATTACAACTGTAATTTTTAACCAACTCAATGTTAAAAAATAAAATAAAAAAATAATTTTACAGAAAATTAAAAAAAAACAAAAAAAATGATGTGGTGAAACACCATGTGAAAAAACACTGCAGCAATCTAAGCGAAATTTTTAACCAGCTTAATATTTAAAAAGCTAAATAAAAAAAATTGGAAAAGAAAAGGAAAAATAAATAAAAAAAGAGGAAAGCTAAAAGAAAAAAAAAGAAAAGTAATTTTGGAGAAAAACAAAGAAAAAATAAATGAAAAGAAAAGAGGAAAGCTTAATATTGTTTTGTGAGGAAAAACTTGTATTTACTTGTAATTGTAATTCTTAACCAGCTTAATATTTAAAAAATAAAATCGACCAAGATAATTTTAGAAAAAAACATAACAAAATAGAGAAAATCATGTGGGAAAAAACATTATAGCAATCCACAGTAATTTGCGAGGAAAGTTAAAGTATTTTCCTCATATATTACAACTGTAATTTTTAACCAACTCAATGTTAAAAAATAAAATAAAAAAATAATTTTACAGAAAATAAAAAAAAAAAAAATGATGTGGTGAAACACCATGTGAAAAAACACTGCAGCAATCTAAGCGAAATTTTTAACCAGCTTAATATTTAAAAAGCTAAATAAAAAAAATTAGAAAAGAAAAGGAAAAATAAATAAAAAAAGAGGAAAGCTAAAAGAAAAAAAAAGAAAAGTAATTTTGGAGAAAAACAAAGAAAAAATAAATGAAAAGAAAAGGGGAAAAAATGAAAAGGTGAAAAAAAAAAAAAGAGGAATGCACTGTGAATTACTATTGTAATCCCAAGTGTAGGTGGGTGTGGGGAAATTAACAAAGAAAAAATAAATGAAAAGAAAAGAGGAAAGCTTAATATTGTTTTGTGAGGAAAAACTTGTATTTACTTGTAATTGCATTTCTTAACCAGCTTAATATTTAATAAAATAAAATTAACCAAGATAAGTTTAGAGAAAAATATGACAAAACAGAAAAAAAAAACCATGTAGGAAAAACATTGTAGCAATCCACAGTAATTTACGAGGAAAATTACAGCACTTTCCTTACATATTGTAACTATAATTTTTAACCAGCTCAATATTAAAAAATAAAATTAAAAAAGATAATTTCAGAAAAAATCATAAAAAACAATAAAAAAATCATGCAGAGAAATACTATGTAAAAAAGCACTATAGCAATCCACAGTATTTCAAAGGAAAAAAAATTACAAAACGGAATTTTTAACTAATTTAATATTTAAAAAGTAAAATCAACAAAAATAATTTAAAAAATAAAAAGAAAAAAATAGAGGAAAGTTGGAAAAAGAAAAAGGAAAGTAATTTTGGAAAAAAAAAGGAAAGAAAAAATAAACAAAAAAAAGGGAAACAAATGAAAAGGTGCAAAAAAATAAAAATAAAATAGAAATGCACTATGGATTACTATTGTAATTCATAATGCATTTTTGGGTGCGGAGAAACAATGATTTCCCCACACCATTTAATTTTATATATAATATTAGTATATTTATGGCAACAACTTAGTATTATATTTTTTTAAATATAAAAAAATATTAAAAATATTTAACAGTCATGTTGGACATAAACAAATTAAATTTATAATTATAATACATCTAAGTGACTCGTTACAGCCACCTAGGTCTAATACTCATATTAGATCAATGTAACTAGATTTGATAACCATGTTAAATATATGCATTTAAAAAAAAATTATAGTAATTTACTTATAATTATTTTAAAAATATATTTATACTTATAATTATTTTAAAAATATATTTATTTTGTATTTTTATTTTTATTTTTTTCACAAAATATATTTTTATCTTTTTTATATTTTTTTCTTCTATTTTAGGACATTAACCACACGTGTCCCTAAAATTCACACAATTTTTTTTATTTCTAATTTTAGTGAAGAAATCATCAATAAGATTAAGATAGTTAAAAGGACAATAAATCTTTTACATGTATAATATGTTCTTTTCCTACAACATAATGTATTAATTCAAAAGTTTTTTTATGATTATATATTTCAATTTTTCATAAATACTAATATTTATAATATAGAAAAGACTCTGCTTGTAACAAACTTTAACAATTAGATCATGTAATAATATTTTAAATTATAAAAAGCATAAACCTTTTAAAAAATTGTTCAACAATTGGATGAAAACATAAAATAAATATTTTTATTCATAATGCATACAAAAAAAAGAAGTTTATTTTTGAAGTCTTGATATAAATCACTTAAAACCAAATATTTTTTTCGTTGTTTCCTTTTCAAATATAACAAATTTATAAAATAAGTTAAACAAATAAAAAAGAGTTTGAAGTTAAGTTCTACTACATATAAATAAAACATCATGCTTGAATGAAATAGTATTGTTTTTGCAGTCCGATCATGTTGTTGAGAAATTTTAAATTTTCTTACTTATGCGCTTGGGTCTGTATGATTACCAAACCCAGGCACCGTGGGTTTAGGATAGTTGTCAAACTAGGCTATCAAACCAAAGCACTATGGTCTAGCGGCCATGTTAGACCTAAATGACTTGGGCCTGACAATCATACTAGACTCAAACAAGCAATAAACAAAGAGAGGATAATTGTACACTTTAGTTGTCAGAAGAGAGAAAAGAAAGAAAAACACAAACAATCGAGTATCGATGACAATCCAACTATGATATGTTTATATATGTCGCTTCATATTAAAAGGGCATCGCTACACATCTAATTATACGACGAATGGTCAGATTTGACTACTAGGAAGTGCCTCACTTGCTTCCTTAATGATGCGAGCACCGCCCACTTGCTAGAGTGCGTAGAACACGCACCAACAACTTTTTGATTAAAAAATACAATGTGAAAAATACTAAAATTCCCCTTATGGTCCTCTTAATTACACAAAATATCTATGTATAAATACAAATACCCCCAAAGGCAAAGCTTGTTTTTGTCTTTTCTAAGGCTAAAAATGTTATTTACTTATACTTGAAAATTGAAAAAACCTGATTATACTTGGAAATTTCTCATCTTTTTCACTTATGAAAAGATGAGAAATTGATAATGAAACTCCTATTACAATCCACAGTGAAATGTCTCTTGATTTATAGTGATTTCCACACAATATTTAGCTTTTGTTATAATATTTTTAAAACCTTATTTAGAAAAAGAAAGACCAGTGGCATGTGCTACATCGCGGGCCTATCATTCTTTTATTGTAAATAAATATTAAGAAAATATAATTTTTTTTCAAGAAAAATCTAAAATTTTAGTTATTAACTCGAGATAAAAAAATAAAAAGTAGTAAAAAAAGTCTCAAGTCTAACTTGATAAACCTATTGAATCCATAATCCATGACATGATATTAGGATAATTCTATAGAAAGAAAAGGTAAAAAAAATAAACAATACCAATTTCCAAAAAAAATAATTAAAAAAATAAAATTTCTTCAAGTATTACCTCAAATAAAATGTTAGATAATGAAATCAATAAGTTTAATTTAATTAAAAAATAAAATTCTTTTAAATGAAACGAAATTTAACAAAAAAGAAAAAAACTTAAGGCAGCCCTTGTTATTTTAAAAATAAAGATAAATCCTATAAAAAAAGAATAAAAAGGAATGTTAGAGAATGAAATATAAAACAAAAGAAGCTTAAAAAAAAAAAAAACAAGCAAGCTTAACTAAACCTTGTAAATTCAGGTTCAATTATTGAAT